TATGCAGGGGTCATTTTGTAGAAAAAGAGCTAGGGGGACTCATTAGCATAACTCATTAGCATATGCCACACCCCCTGACATCACCGGAAGTGTGTCCTCCCCACAGCCGGTGGCGACCTCCAGCGGGCACTAGCAGGGAGCTCCAGGCCCCGCCCTCCTGCACCTCACCCGGGGGGATGGCGTCCCCCCGCGTCCCCCCCAAATGACCCCTGCATATATGTCCAGTTAATGTTGTCAAAAGCTTTCTCTGCATCTAGAAGTATTACGGTCATCTGTTTTCCCAGGTGTAATTCATAATATTCTAGTGCATTAATTATAGTTCTGATGTTGTTTTGGATTCGTCTTTTGTGTAAAAACCCTGACTGGTCTTTATGTATTATTTGGACTATTACGTTTTTTAATCTATTAGCCAGAATTTTTGCAAAGATTTTATAGTCTGTATTTTAAAGAGATATTGGTCTATAGTTCTTCATTTCCTCTTCGTTAGAATTAGTTTTGTGGATCAGTGTTAAGATAGCCTCATTCCAAGAAGGAGGGATTTTACTTGAATTTGGAATATTTTGTAATAGATCTTTGAATGGTTCTAGTATCTGGTCTTCAAATACTTGATAGAATTCTGTAGGAATACCATCTGGTCCTGGGGATTTTCTTTTTTCCCCATTTTTTATTGCTTCTATTATTTCACAGACTGTTATGGGGTCATTTAGTATGGCTGTTTGTTCTTTGTTAATTTTTTTTTTAACCATTTTTCTTGATATTCTTGTATCTCTTTATTTGTTGTTTCTGATATCTGGTACAAGTTTTTATTAAAAGTCTCTACTATTTCTTTAAGTTCTATTTGGGTAAATTTTTCCTCCCCTCTCTCATTTTTAGTGATTTAATTACTCTTTTCTCTCTATCTTTTTTCAGTTTATATGCTAGCCACCTCGTGGGCTTACTAGCATTTTCAAAATAATACAGTTTAAATATTTCTATTTTTTTTTTCTTGGAAGAACTTAAAGTGGATGTAAAGTCCTGGGTGCAAAATATAGTTACACAGACAGTACAGGACTCGGTAAAAGAAGCTGTATCCCAAGCAGTTAAAGAAACAGTAGGGACAAGCCTTCCCACGATACTTAAATCAGAAATGGAACCTATACATACCAAAATGGAAGCCATTTTTGCAGACACGGAAGAATTAAACAAACAAATTAAAGAAACAAATGGAGGAACACAAACAAGAAACAGAAAAAAACACCAAAGATCTATAAAAACTAGAAAGAAACAGTAAAGAACTCCAAGAAGACTTTCTAGAATTAAAAGCAAATGCAGAAAGGATGGAACAAACTCTAATCTCACTAGAAATCGATAGAGCAGCTTTTATTGTAAGATGTCAGAATTTCCCGGAGTCAAAAGGAAAAGATCTGAAAGGGGAAATGGCACAACTCTTATCAGAAGAATTAGAATTAGGACCCAAAGAAGAACTGAAGAAAAATATTAATTTAATCTACAGGGGAAAAACTGCATATGCCAAAAAGAACAAAACACCAAGGGAAGTACATATCAAATTCAATAAAAAAGAATTAAGAGATAAAACTCTTAGGATATCTAGCCAGACCCCAGTAGTAATAGACAATAATGAAGTCAAATTTCTAAAAGATACCCCTTGGAGAGTAAGGGAAAAGAGATATGCCTATACTAACCCGACCAAATTACTGAGAAATAGTAATATCTTTTATAGATGGCTGTTACCAGAATGTCTGCTCTTCACTTACCAAGGGAGAAGATACAACATCAATTCTACCATTAAAATGGAAAACTTTTTAGAAAGACATGGACAAGACTTAGGAGAACAATATGAAGAAGAACCACTAGAATCTCCTGAAGTACACACAGTGGAAGAAAAAAATACCCAGCCCACAGAAACAACAGAAAAACAAGAACTCAAAAAGAAAAGAGAAAGGAAAAAACCAGAAAAGACCACATCTAACATATTAACAAGATCCCAATATAAAAAGGAGAAAAAATAATAAAGATAGAGAAGATGGAGAAGTCACAGAAGACTAAAATCATATCGGTGAATGTTAATGGGCTTAATGGCCCACAAAAAAGAAGGAAAATATTCCACCAATTGTATAAACTTAATATAGATATAACATGTATTCAAGAAACCCATATTAAAAAGAATGAAGAAAAATACCTAAAAGATAAAAAATTAGGAACCCCCTTTGCAGACTCAGATAAAAAGAAAATGAAAAAGGGAGTAGCAATTTATGTAAAGGAATATTTACAACCCAAATTAGAATTTAGCTTGGAAGACGGAAGGGGAATAGCAATATCAATCTTAAGACAGGAAAAAAGGATTTTAATAATCAACATATACGCACCCAATCAAAACTAAGGTAAATTTTTCAAACAACTACAAGAAATCTTAGCCAAAATGCCATTTGAAGATATATGTGTAATAGGCGACTACAATTCAGTTTTTGACCAAAAAATAGATAGAAGATCCCACAAATTAAAAAATAAAAAATCAAGCAATATAACACCTAAAACCTTTTTACAATTAGCAGAAGAATTTTCCTTAACAGATATATGGAGAACAAAAAATATCGATAAAAAAGAATATACTTTCTTCTCTGCTCGGCATAATTCTTGGATTGATATGGCTTGGTTATCAACCTCCCTTATTAGAATGGTAGAAGAAACAGAAATATTAACCAGTACTTTTGCGGGTCATAATCCTTTCATGTTAACATTAAATCCCATATGCAGAAAGTCAAGATGGACAATGAATTTGGCTATACTAAAGAATAAAGAGATGACAGGAAAAAAAAAAAGTAATAAAAGTTCTTTAGGAATAACACTCAATTGGAAACTCCCATAGAAATAATTTGGGATGCCTTTAAGGCTTACATAAGAGGCTGGTGCATTAATCAAGGAGCATGGAGAAAAAAACAAGAAAACAAAAAATATGATATATTAAGAGAAAAAATACAGGAAGAAGAGAACAAAATTAAAAATAACAATAATAATACAGACAATAAAAGATTTAAATTAATTAAGTTGCAACACCAAGACGTAGCCAAAAAAAAAAGTCAGGTACTTTTTTCCAGCCTAAATTTATTTATTTTGTTACTTTATATTTCACCTACAATGTAGTTAACAACTACTGTTATCCTTCAAATGTTGTATTTTGTTACTGGCTTACTGTTCGGTTGAATAGTTCTATTTTACTTGTAATATGCCTTGAGTCCCTGTGAATAGGTAGACTATAAATGCAAATAAATAACTAGAATACAGTGAAAAACAGCAGTAAAATTACAGCAACATTAAAACTTCAAGCTTCAATAAACAATGAATGAGCTATAGTTCATGCTCACAGCAAGTGAGATATTAGAACAACATTAGAGGCACAAGCTCCATTTTTGCATACTTCCACCACCCATATTGGAAGATTTACAATTAACATGCAAAATTGTTGTCTGTGTATGGCGTCAGACTGGACAATATCACTAATCCCTCCTGTGCATGTAGTATAGAGCAATTCCTGCCTACACATCCCGCTACCTCCAAACATCTGCATGATGGCTTAACATCTGAATAACATGTACCACTGCACAGCTCTCTCATCAATTTACTAATAAAATCTGGGTAAACTGCATGACACTCACATACAAACACTGTTTTTGGACATAGTTGTTTACTTGCATTTATAGTCCACCTTTTTCACAGGGACTCAAGGCATATTACAAGTTAGACAGAACTATTCAACCAAACAGTAAGCCAATAACAAAATACGACAACATTTGAACAATATAACAACACTAGGAAAAAGGCCCGTTGTGGAAATAAATACAACGGCCTCTAGAAAGAGGCTCTGGGCAGGTGCCCCGGCCTTGGACACTCAGTGAAAATTTGCTGTGGCGACCTCAGCAGGGTATAATGACACTGAGTCCACCATTTTCTCCAGAGGAACTGATCTCTGCTACCTAAAGAACAGTTGTAATTTTGAGTGCAGCCCTCACCTGGAGATTGGCAACAATGGTTCCCCAGAAGGAAATGGTTGGTTTCGAGGGTGGAGTCTATGGCTTTGTACCTGTCCGAGGTCCCACACCTCCTGAAACCTCACCCTCTCAGGCTCCATCCCTCACATCTCCAGGAATTTCCCACCTGGAGTTGGCAACCCTATCTCTTGCCCAGCCAATCATCAACCTACCTTTATTTCCCCCTCACTCTTCAGCTTTCCACCCCACACACACCTCCAGCCTCTCCCATGCTCTGAAGCCCTGACTGCTACGTCACATTGGCTGTCATACGGGGGCCACCTCAGCAGCATATAAGGATACAGAGCCCACCATTTTCTCCAGGGGAACTGATCTCTGCCATCTGGAAAGCAGTTGTAATTCTGAGTGATCTCCAGCCCTCACCTGGAGATTGGACACATTTTACCTCAGAACAGCAAACTGTTTAGAATGTTAGAGGCAAAAGCCAATCAGGCTGCATATGCAAATAACCTCTGTGTTCTGACTGGCTATGGGGGGGAGAGGAACAGCAAACTGTTTAGAATGTTGGGAGGCGAGACTCAAGCAATGCAGCCAGTGGATAGGGACAGATTCTGAGTGACACACCAGGGCCCCGACCAATTCCGGAGCGTGTGGAATGTTCTAGAGAAGTGCCACCACCATTCAGCTTTTATATATAAGGGAGATTTGGACAACAATATAAACTCCCACAGAAATGGTGAATGGGACTGGGAGGGGAAAGCAGACATGCACTCATTCCCCCATGCACAGAGGAACAACCAGTGAATTTATTCAATGAGCCCAAGGTCTAATCAAAAAGAAAAAATTTCTAGCAAAGTAGTTACATAAAATGGCCATTCATTTCAGAAAAACATGAAGAAGAAAACTTGTGCAGAAGAAGTTAGAAGGAACAGCTTAATATTGGGGAAGAGGTTCCCTTGAAACAGGACTGTTTAAAAAATGGCCCAAGAAATGACTTACAAACAATCAATTCACCTGCTAATATTAGCTCCATAAGTGATGATGATGCAGTTATTACACCAGGATGATCAGAGGATGAGATTCCATGTACACCACCTTTAACAGAAATAACGTGTTAGTCCTTTCCATTTGAACTGTTAGATTTGTTCAGTTTTTAGTGCATTAAAAGTAACATAAACATTGAAATATATTTCTTTCACATCAGTTTCATTACAGAGAATTTTCAAATAACAATTCAACAGCTATTTTAGAATCATAGAATGTTAGAGTTGGAAGGGACCTTCCAGGTCATCTAGTCCAACCCCCTGCACTCTGCAGAAGCATTAAAGTAAGCTACCTTGCTCAAATTCATTATTGTATCCCAAACCATGGCCTGGCAGTTCTGTAAGTTATGTCTATTAAAACCATTAGTCTTTCTTCATTTAATGTATCCCATTGCTAAAACTCAAGTCACAGTGGAGACAACCACACATTCTATATTGTCAACCAAAAAGAAAGCTACAAATGCATGTGTAGGATGAAAAGCAACGAAAGCAATGACCGAGCTGGAAAGCAACGAAAAACAGACATCCCGGCATGATAAAATGCTCCAGTCAGATTCAGAGATTAATTTGAGGTGTGGGGCATGTATGCGTCACCCACTGAACTGTCTCCCCAGTTACAGCCTGGATCAGAGAAGTCACACTAGCCTGGCCTACGCAGCAAGAGTTCCGCTACTTACAGCCTCGGACTGGCGTGAAGCTCTTGCCGGTGGCAGTGGAGTGATCAGTGGCCTGACAATCTGGGAGTGGACGGCGCGGCAGCCATTTTGCGACGGTCCCCGAGGAATATCCAAGAGCTCGGAGGCAGAGGCGGCAGAGGCGGCGATCCCGTGGGTGACAGTGGGTGAGCCTGGGAAGGGTCCCTCCCTCCCGTGGAGTCCCCCCGATCAGCCAGACAGCGGAAGAGCAAGATCACGCCATCCTCGACGATGGAGCTGGTGGCGAGTCTTGGGCCCCGTGAATACCGGGGACTGAAGAGGATCACAGGACAGAGTGGAGTTGGTGACGTGCAGCCGGTCGGGGGGAGCAGTGATTGCTGGCGGGATCTGGATCCCATCCCAGAGCTGTGAAACTGGCTGGTCGGGAGGGGCAAGAATGACTGCGGAGCAGAGAGAGCAGCTACAGAGCTTGAGAGGAAGGCGCTCCTGGTGGTCATCACAGGGAAGGCTGCTAGAACTCTTTTGCCATCCCCACTCATGCAGGTGGGGAATTAGAACTGGAGCCCCAATGGATGAGTTGGTATAGCCCTGAGGCTAGGGAGTTCGGTTAGATGAGTATGTCTGCTGATTTTGTGTGTATGATTGTTTAGATTGCTAGGAGTTAAGTTTAATTCTACCCCTGTTAGAGGTTAGGCTGGGGTAGTATTGTGGTAGACCGTGCGGTCACAGATTTTTAGTGCTATCACTAGGGATTTTTTGTACAGCAGAGGAAGTAGTTGTTGTTAGTTTTAGGATTGGGAATATAAAATTGTGTCCAGCTCTTGTTGGAGGGCTAGCATCTAGCTGGCCACTAGTGGTCTGAAGTGTCTACGTAGACCCGCTGTGACAGCAATGCCTGGACAGCAGATCCCGGTGCTCATGGGGAGGGGAAGGTTTAGCGGTGGGCCCAGGCAGTATAGTAAGGGAAGGACGCTAAAATATAGAATGGCTCGGCGCCCTTCCAGCCTGCGGTCCAACCCAAGGGTTGTCGGCAGTGGGGCCAGGATTGGTAACCCCCTCTAGCATTGATGTTGTGCAACGCCAGGTCTATTAACAATAAGACCACAGTCCTTCGACACTTTGTGCTGGAACAACAGGCTGACCTGGCGTGGGTGACCGAGACCTGGGTGCAGGAGGCAGAGACTGTGGCTCTCTCCCAACTTGCCCCACCAGGTTTCTCAGTCCTTCACCAATCACAGACTAGGGGGCGGGGGGAGTGGCTATCTTCATTCAGGGGGCTTACTCCTTCAGGGCACTCCCACCTGTGGAGATCACGGGCTTGGAGTGTGTTGGCCTGATGCTGGAGACTGAGTTTGGCGATCTGGCTGGTGTACCAACCGCCTAACACACCAGCCAGTAGCCTGCCAT